AGCGTCCGAGACTCCGCCGCGAGCGACCGAGGACCAGCCCGGCCCGCCGGCGCCCAGGAAACAGGCCCGCCCCCGGACGCCTATTGGCGCGCCTGCCGGAGCCTGACTTCTCATTGGTCGGTCTCAGATGTCACTCAATGCCCAGCCATCCCTCTGCTCAGAGAGGCAGGGGAGACACCTGTTCTGCCAGGGACAACTTGTTAAAGGGTCACCAGTTCTGCCGCCCTCTACCCTCCGAAGGAAGCATGGGGCTGCAGCTGCTCAAAGGGAAGAGGAGAAGGAGGCGCAGGAATGCGCCCCTCTTAGCACGCCCACGTCCTCCGCCCAGTTGCTGTCCACATATGCAAACATACATGCATTACAATCAACAAGTACGTACACTGTGTTGAGCAATGAGCGGAAAAGTGCAGGAATGCTGGAGACTAAAGATAATCCAGGGGAGTGAGGAGGGTGACTATAAAATCCAGGAGAAAAAACTACCATAGATTTAACAATTAGACAAAATTCGAAAGTACATGCAAACCTGGTTAGTAGCTATATATTTTAAATATTTATTTTAGTAACTTGGAAACTATATATCCCGTAGAAATCTCATAACCAAAATATGTACAAAAAATTTGACCATATATCTACAAAAGGACAATCCAGTTATAATCCAGGCAAAAGGCTTGAATTGACATTTCACCAAAGAGGACATTCAAATAGCCATTGGGCAAGTGAGAAGATGCCTAGCTTATTAGCCATCAGATAGATGCTAATCAAACCCACAATGAGGTAGCATTACACTCCCGCCAGGATGGCTAAGAGTTAAATAAGTGACAGATGTTGACTAGGATATGGGAAAATTGGAACCCTTATCCACTCAAAAATGGTACTATATTGTGGAAAACTATTTGGTAGTTCCTCAAAACCTGAAGTCAGAACTACCATGACAGCAATCTGGAACAAGGGGTGCATTGCTGGGTGGGCTGGGGGATGAGGGAGGGAAGGAAGAAAATGCAACAAAACAAAGAAAACATTATTAAATTGAAAAAAGTTAACTGAGAGAGGGAGAAGGGAGGGAGCAGGGAGCGAAACAGTGCAACAATGAATGAATGAATGAATGAAAAGCCAATTTTTCTCTAAACTTTCATTAAAATGACAATAAAATAAGGTTTTGTAAAAAAAATTTTAAGGAGGATAGGAGAATGGATGCCTTCGAGCTGTGGTGCTGGAGAAGAGTATTGAGGCTAACAAACAGGAAAACAAACAGATTCATCCTGTAAAGGGTTAAACCAGGCGGCTCCTTGAAGGCAAGGATTTTGAGGCTTCTTCTGACATACTTTGGACATGTTGTAAGGAGAGACCAGTCCTTGGAGAGGGACATCATGCTTGGGAGGGTGGAGGAACAGCGCAGGAGGGGAAGGCCCTCTATGAGGTGGATTGATTCAGTGACTGAGGTAATCGGGATGGGTGTATCAGAGATGGTGCGATTGGCACAGGACAGAGCAGAGTTTAGGGATGTTGTACATAGGGTCGCTATGAGTTGCAAGCAACTCGACAGCACATAACAACAACAACAACAATCGTATCACCCAGCAATCCCATGCTTAGATACACCCAAAAGAATTGAAAGCAGAGATTCAAAACTAATTTGAAATGAATATTCATTGCAGCGCTACCCACAATAGTAAAAAGTTGGAAATAACCCAAGTGCCTACCAAGAGATGAATGGATAAACAAAGTATTTTGCATGTATACAGTGGAATAGTAAATAGTAAGATGAAGGAAATTATGTACATGCTACAGTCTGAATGGAGCTTGAAAATATTGTGCTGAGTCACAAAAAGACAAATATGTTATGATCTCACTTATAAAAAGAAAAGGCAAAGTTTATTAGTGTTTTTCAGAGGTGGAGGGTAGAAAGAATTAATAGGAATGGAAAAATATTACTTAAAAGTAAAGTTGCTCCATCAATTATTGTAATTGCTATCAGTAAGCTGATTGGCAAAAAGATGTACTGGCAAAAGTTGTGTGCTACATATATTTATACCTCCTCCCCCCAACTTTTGAAGCATGCAATGTGGTAACTATTAAACATATTAATTTTTAAAATATAACTTCTTTATTCTGGAAAGCTCTGCATCCATTGACATAATAAAAAAAAGCATGTGTACCAACTTGAACAAAGTTCCATGATGTATGAAGTGCGAAAAAATAGTTGTAGAATAGGGTATTTTTTTAAAACAACAATTATAAGAATGTTGTTGTTGTTGTTGGTTGCCATTGAGTCAGAATGAACTCAAAGCTGATGCTCCAGCAGGTTTTCAGCGTCAGTACATTATGTGGGAAGAGATTGCCTAGCCTCCCTGGGGAGCAGCTGGTGGATTAGAAACTCATGCCTCTGGGATTGAAGCACAGCTTCTTATCACCAGGTCATAAGAGCTCCTTTAGTTGTAGAATAGGGTATCCAATAGCCAGGGAATTGTTTCAATTTATTTCACTTTCTAAGAAGGTATATTCCTTAGAACATATCATGTGATCGTTCAAAATGAAAATCAAGGTTTGAACAAGATAAGTGAAAAATTTCTCAATAGCATATTCATCAAATGGAATAGAAAATACATGTACCAAGAGAGAGAAGAAAAATATAAACGTAAAATAAATGATAGTGATGTGATAAGATGTGTAGCAATTCCTAACTTTAATTCTTTTTGTGGTTATCCACAACTAAGAATAGAATGAAAATATCTGAACAAGATTTTTATAAAGCAAAAATCAGAAAATAGCCATATTGGTGGGACTAACCTTGTCAAGGTGTGTGAAAAAGGGAGCAGCATGAAGGAAGAGAGAAGATGCGGCCTTTGAGCTTCAGGAACGGAGGAACTTGAGACAGAGAAGTGAAGACTTGGAGGACCTGTCAGCAGCAGGTAGAGCCCAGTTGGTGATTTGATGGTGCAGTCAACTAAGTTAATGGACCATTTCCTTCAAAAATATTTGATAGGCATTCCTGAACATTTTGACCAGAGATTCTATAAAAAAATCTTAATCAAAAGGGGGAAATGTGGAACAGAATTGAAAATTTTAATGTCATTCAGATATTCTGAAGCTGTTGAGGCTAGATGAATACTTGAGATAACCTTAACCATTAAATAAAAATATTCACTGGTAATTGTTTTTAAACCAAACAATGGCTTAATTAGGGGAAAAAAATCTCTACCTCAGGACTGTATTTTTATAAAGCTAACTGTATGGGATCAAAGGGAACCCTCCTGGCATATTCTGTAGAATGCTGCGGTAATAATCCAAACGCCATGCTTCACTGGTGGTTCAAAGCCACCAGCACTCAGTTGGAGAAGGATGTATATTGTCCTTCTATGAGATCTATAGCCTCCTGAAAACCCAACAGAGGATCAGCTCTGAGTTGATTCTGCCTTGACTGAAATGAGTGGGAGTGAGTGATACGGGATTAAGTTAACAACAGCTGGGAAGTTTCGATAAGAAGCTTAATAGACAATTTATGTTAGTGAATTTATGTTAGTAGAGGAAGAACCATACAGAAAAGGGAGGGCATGCATGACACAACTTGAAGAATCTGATCAGTGTAGCTGAATTACACAAGTAAGAATTATGGAATTGGTATGATTTTTGCTTATTCTTAACAGTTGAAAAATAGACAAACCCCAAACAAAAACAGCTGGTAGGTTAGAATTCACCATTAGAAGTATTAACTTTAGTAAATGCAAAGAGGCAGGTGATCCCTGTGTGGTTGAAAGTGCATCATTGCAAAGTCCAGCTGTGGGCTGTAAAATTGTGAAAAAATAATGAGTGGCAGGGAGACTAGGCGAGTCCAAAGGCTTCCCCACCTCTTTCTCTCTGTGTGGTGTTTTTTTTTTTTTTGCTTGTTTAGTCTTGATTTTTATTATGGTGAATCTATCTAGATACTACAAACATGTGCCATTGCAGTGTTTTCTGCATATAGAATTCAGTAATAGTAGTTATTTTTATCATGTTGTTCAGCCATCTTTGGATTCAATTGTGCCCTCCCCCACCCCCACATATGTTGCAAATTCTAACCTCCAGGCCTGTGATGCCTGTGGTTATAATCCCATTTGGGAATGGATTGTTTTAGCTATGTTAACGGACTGGATTAGTGTAAAATATATCTGGAGATACCAAAGAGATTAAAACAAATGAGAAAGTAGCGAAAGGGGTGGGGAGATGCCAAGCCACGTATCGATGACCCAGGAGCAGAAGATCAAAGAGGCAAAGACTTTCCTTCAGAGACAGAGAGGGTGGCAGCGTCCTGGATGTAGACCTTCAACCTCCTAAATGGTGAGAAAATGAATTTCTAATTGTCAAAGCTATCCACTTGTGAATATTTCTGCTCGAACAGCACTTGGTAACAAAGACAAACCCATAGCCACTGCTCGTTTCCAGATTCAAACCCACCAGCTGCTCCTCAGGAGAAACATGATTTATTGCCTCTGAAAACCCCGTGGAGGTTAGCTATGGCTCTGACTTGATGCCGCACAACTAACAGAATCTCAATATTCTCCAAGGAGCAATAACTTCTCTAGGGAATGATGACTTCTCTTTAGTGTGATGGTTCATTTTGGTTTTTTAACATTTTTGTTGATGGATACCTGTAATAAACGTTGTTGTTAGGTGCTGTTGAATTGAGTACGACTCATGGTGACCCTATGAACCATAGATCTGAACACTGTTCTATCCTGCGCCGTCCCCATCATTTCTGATAGACTCAAGCCCATTGCTGCGCTGTGTCAATCCACTTTGTTCAAATCTTCCTTTCTTTTGCTTCCTTTCTTTTACTTTTCCAAGCATGATCCTGTCCCAAAA